CAATTTACATGATACAAACACAAAGGATTGTAAGAAAATACTATAAACAACTATATGCAAATAGATTGGGCAAACTTGATCAAAATGGACAAATAACTAGAAACATACAATCTTCCAAAACCCAGTCAAGAAGAATCAGAAAACCTGAATAGGCCCATAACAAGTAATTAAATTAAAGCAGTAATCAAAACACTCCAGCAAACAAAAGCCCTAGACCCAATGACTTCACAGGAAAGTTCTACCAAACATTCAAAGAACTAACACCTATCCTACTCAAACTATTGCAAGAAGTACAAGGACAGAACACTTCCAATCTTTTCTTACAAAGCCAGCATTATCCTAACTCCAAAACCAGATAAGTACACTAAAAAGGAAGAAAATTATCAGCCAATATCCCTGATGAGCACAGATGCTAAAATCTACAACAAAATATTAGCAAACTGGCCCTGGCCAGTTTTGCTCAGTGGTTAGAGCATCAGCCTGCGGACCAGAGAGTCCCGGGTTTGGTTCCCACTAAGGGCATGTACCTTGGTTGTAATTTGTCCCCGGCCCTGGTTGGGTCATGTGAGTGGCGACCACTCGATGTGTCTCTCTCACATCAATGTTTCTCTCTCTGTCTTCCCCGCTCACTCTCTCCCACTCAATCTGAAGATAAATGCAAACTGAAGCCAGTAATACATTGAAAAAATTATACACCGTGACCAAGTGAGATTTACTGTGGGGATGCAAGGCTGTTACAGTATTCACCAATCAATACATGTGATACATCACATAAACAGAATGAAGGATAGAAATCACATGATCATATCAATAAACACAGAAAAAGCTTGTAACAAAATCCAGCACCCATTTTTGATAAAAACTTTCAGCAAAGTTGTAATAGAGAGATCATACGTCAACATAATGAAGACCACATATGACAAACCTACAGTCAACATCATACTCAATGGACAAAAACTAGAAGCATTTCCACTAAAAACAGGAACAAGACAGGGATGTCCATTTTGATCATTCTTATCCAGCCACAACAATCAGATAAGAAAAAGATGAAAGGCATCATATTGAAAAGGAGGAAGTAAAATTATCATTATTCATAGGTGAAATGATATTGTATATAGAAAACCCTAAAGACTCCATAAAAAAACCTACTAGAGTTAATAAATAAGTTTGGCAAATTAGCAGGATACAAAATTAACATCCAGAAATTGATGGCATTTTTATATACCAATAGTGAACTCTCATAAAGAGAAACAAACAAAAAATCCCATTTACCATTGCGACAACAACAAAAACAAAATACCTAGGAATAAACTTAACCAAGGAGTAAAAAGACATGTACTTGGAAAATACAGGACATTGGAAAAAGAAATAGAGGTAGAAGCAAACCAGTGGAAGCATACACCATGTTCATGCATTGGAAGGATTAACGTTATTAAAATGTCCACACTACACAAAGCAGTCTATAGATTCAAGATAATCCTTGTTACAATACCAATTGCATAGTTCACAAATCTAGAACAAATAATTCAAAAATTCATATGGAACCAAAAAAAGACATGGAATAGCTGCAGCAATTGTGAGAGAAAAAAAACAAAGTTGGAGGGATCAAAATACCAGATATCAAGTTGTAATACAAAACCATTGTAATCAAAACAGTCTAGTACTGGTGCAAGAACAGTCACATAGACCAATGGAACAGAACAGAGACCCCAGAAATCGACCCAAGACATTACAGTCAGTTAATATTTGACAAAGGAGTCAAGAATATACAATGGAGTAAAGAAAATCTCTTCAATAAATGATCGTGGGAAAATTGCACAGGCACATGCTAAAAGATGAAACTAGATTACCAACTTACACCATCCACAAGAATAAACTCAAAATGTACAAAATACTTAAATGTAAGTCATGAAACCATAAAAATCCTAGAACAAAACATAGGCAGCAAAATCTCGGAAATCTCATGTAATAGAATTTTCACCTTTAGGGCAAGAGAAGCAAAGAAAAAATTAAGTAAATGAGACTACATCAAACTAACAAGTTTCTGCACAGCAAAGGAAACCATCATCAGAATGAAAAAGCAACCCACAGTGTGGGAGAGCATATTTGCCAATGATACATCAGGCAAGGGGTTAATATTTAAAATATATTAAGTACTCATAAAGCTCAGTAAGAGAAAAACAAACAATCAAAATAAAAAATGGGCAAAGAGGAGAGTTGTGGATGACTTTGGCTGTTGATCCTAATTCAATCCAGAATGGCTACTGTGATCTTTGTCGATAAGGAAAATGGAGAACCAAGCATCATGCAACTCCTAAGAACCAGCTGAAGTTGGGGTTCCAGCCTTCGGTCAAAGCTTTAGATGGGAGATCTCTGATTTCAACCCCACATATTGGCAAAATGTTTGGTGCTCCTCTGGCCTTCCATAAGGCTCCCAGGAAGGCGTTGGTAACTGTCAACAGAGCTACAGAAAAGTCAGTGACGACTGACGGACCTCTCAAACAGATACAGACAACCTCTGCTAAAAGGGTGACCAAGAACACTGCTCAAGCAAAAACCTCTGTTCCTGATTCAGGTGGCACCTGTCCAGAAAGAAAAATTCTTTCTTTCAATCCTTGAGATCTGGAGAGTTTTGAGCTGCCTGAAGAACACGCGATCACACAGCTCGCCTTGAATGGAGTGCCCCTCGCGGTCCCCGACGAGAGGAAACTGGACAGCTGTAATACCGGCCCCGCCACCTCTGAAGGTGCCCTCTCCACCGCAGGAGTCGGACCCACTGGTCTCCCTCGAGCACTCTGTCCACTCTGGAGGTTCAACTGCTGCCTGTTTGCTATGACTCACAGATTTAAGTTTCTTAGTGCTTTATAGTTTGTATGTATTAATAGTTTATATTACTAAAGCAATTTTTTAACATAAAAAAAAAAGGACGAAGGACCTCAATAGACACTTCTCCAAAGAGGACTTACAGATGGCCAAGAGACATGAAAAAATGCTCAGTCACTAATCATCAGAGGGATGTAAATTGAAGTGACAATGAGGTATCACTTCACACCTGCCGGAATGGTACCATCAATAAATTAACAAACAAGTGCTGACAAGGGTATGAAGAAAAGTGGACTCTAGTGCACTGCTGGTGGGAATGCAGACTGGTGCAGCCACTGTGGAAAACAGTGTGGAGTTTCTTTAAAAAATTAAATATGAGCCCTGGCCGGTTTGGCTCAGCGGTTAGAGCGTCGGCCTGCGGTCCAGAGAGACCCGGGTTCGGTTCCCGCTAAGGGCACGTACCTCGGTTGCAGTTTGTCCCCGGCCCTGGTTGGTCGTGCGGGTGGCAGCCACTCGATGTGTCCCTTCACGTCGATGTTTCTCTCTCTCTCTCCCTTCCTCTCTCTCCCTCCCACTCTACCTGAACAAAAAATGGAAAAATGTCCTCGGGTGAGGATAAAAAAAAAAAAAAAAAAAAAATTAAATATGAAATTGCCATTTCACCCAGCAACCCCACTTCAAGAATATATCCTAAGAACCCCAAAACACCAATCACAAGGAATATATGCACCCCTATATTCAGAGCAGCATTATTTATAATAACTAGAATTTGGAAACAGCCCAAGTGCTCATCAGTAGATGAGTGGATAAAACAGCTGTGGTACATTTGCACAATGAAATACTATGCAACTGTAAGAAAGAAAGATTTCTTACCCTTTGAGATAGCATGGATAGAACTAGAGAATATTATGCTGAGTAAAATACACCAATCACATGATCTCACTTATTTGTGGAATAATGAACAAAATAAATTGACCAATAAAGCAAGTTCAAAGGCATGGAGACATGGAACAGACTGACATTTCTCAGAGGCAAGAGCAGGGATGTGATGAGATTAACCAAAGAACATATGTCCTTATATTCATAGCCCATGGTCATAGACAACAGTGTGGTGAAGGCCTGGGGTGGGGGAGAGGCTAGGCGGAGTAGAGCAGAGTGAGGGGAAAGGAGGGACATCTTCAGTACTGTCAACGATAAAAATATATGGATATTCTTTTAAAAGAATCACCTCTGTAAAGGTTACATTTGAGCTGATAACTGAAAGATGAGAAAGAACCAGGCATATAAAGAGCTGAAACTCTGGGGGGAGAGAGCCCCAAAGAAAGGGATGGCGAGTGCAGTGTCCCTGTGGCAGAATGAGCTCGGCTGTTCTAAAAACAGAAAGACGTGTCTGGCCGGTGTGGCTCAGTGGCTGAGCATCCACCCTGCACCAAGAGGCCGCTGGTTCGATTCCCAGTCAGGGCACATGCCCAGGCTGTGGGCCAAATCCCCAGTGGGGGGCTTGCAGGAGGCGGCCAATCGATGTTCTCTCTCATCAGTATTTATATCTCTTTCTCCTTCTCACTTCCTCTCTCTCTAAAATCAATAAAGGAAAAAAAGGGTTGGGGGAATGGGTGAAAAAGGTGAAGGGATTAAGAAGTACAAATTGGTCGCCAGACTGAAAAACCTCAAAGGGAAGGGGGTTGAGGGGGTGAGAAGAAATAATCCAAAGAATTTACATGCATATATGCAAACCAACAGACACAGACAACAGTGTGGGGAAGGCAGGAGGGGGTGGGGGCCGGAGTGGGGGTGGGGGTGGGAGGAGGGCGTCAATGGGGGGAAAATGAGGAACATCTGTAATACATTCAACAATAAAGATAAAAAAGATTTTAAAAAAATAATAAAACAAAGGAAAAACATTTTTTAATAAAAAATAAAAATATCTAAAGAGAAAGACGTCTGGAGCCCGGGGTCAGGGAATGAGGCACAGAATGAGCTCTGAGAGGCAGCAAGGTCCGGCCACAGAGCCTTAGGCCGCGGCAGACCGCTTAGATTTGGTCCCAAGCGTGGTGGAGAGCCACCGAGGAGTCAGAGTGGGGATGGGCTGATATAATCAGATTTCCATTTTTAAAATATTAGTTTCTATGGGAAGAATTTATTCTAAGAGCAGTGAAACCTGTTAAAAGTGTTTGGTTGTGTTTGCTTTGGTAGCACATAAACTAAAATTGGAACAATACAGAGATTAGCATGGCCCCTGTGTAAAATGATACTCAGATTTATGAATCATTTTGTACTTTTAAAGAAAAGATCCATGCCCGGATGGTGTGGCTCAGTGAATTAAACGTCGTCCCATGAACTGAGAGGTCCCGGTTCAATTCCCGGTCAGAGCACGTGCCTGGGTTCCAGGCTTGATCCCTAGTAGGGGTCATGTAGGAGGCAGCTGATCAATGCTTCTGTCTCACATTGATATTTTTCTCTCTCTTTCTCTCTCCCCTCCTGTCTCTCTAAAAAATCAATGAAAACATTTTTAAGAAATAAAGAAAAGATCCATGTAAAAATGGGGAGAAAACAGATCCAGGAAATTTCAGAAAGCAAGTCACAACATTTTTTGAAACTACACAAAATGACAGAAATGGGAACTCTTTGAGTTGGAAAAAGTTTTCTTCAAACCCATCTCATTCTAAGATTTCAGGAAAACAAATTTCACATAAAGGCTAGCAACAGAAGAACCTCAAGGTCAAACCCTTTACAGATTTACTATAAGAAAAAAGAGAATAAGGAGTAAAATAATCTCCCTACAGACAATTAAAACATAGTAGAAATATATGCTCACAAAGCAGATTAAAACTAACTTACTATTTCAAAATGATAGGAGACATTAAGACAAGTATACAAGACAAAAGAAAACAAACATAAATCAGAATTTTAAAAAACTCAGAAATGAGGCTGCAGAGCCAGAAAGAATCAGTTTAAAAATTATTTTAGGATTTGAGACTAAAAGAATGAATAAGCATAAGAAACAATGCCTTAAGAGATAGAAAAGATAGAGAAAAATTTAAAAATGATGAAAGAAGAAGAAGGATTTGAGAGAAAGGAACAAATATTAAAGATTGAAAATACAGATAATTACTCAGACATAAAAAAGAATTGCTGCAGGAGAAATCACTGGGCCAGATTTCCCTGCCACTCATGAGAGTGAGGTCTTGGGGTGCTGCTGAGGTAAGCATTTTCAGAAGCCCCCACAGGAGAATGAGATGTGGTAGAGACTTATTTGCATGGAGTTACATTCCTTGGGTTGTGAAGTCCCATGTCCCTTAGTCCAGTCCTGAGAGAGGGGTTGCTGGGGCTTTAGCAGAGCCAGAAGCAGGGCCAGCGTCCAGAGCTTCCTTTCCATGTTGCAGCCGGGTCTGGTACAACATTAGGCCATTGTGTAGAGTTCACATGGCCGTGAGTCACGTGGGCAAACGCAGAGGAACGCTCCCCCTGCAACAAAAGTCCTGAGAGGGCCAGGGGGCCAACGTCCAAGACAGCAAACTTCCTTTGTTCAGGAGCTTAAATATTCAGGTTTGTTCCATTGTAGTGGCCACACCTATTCTGGCCACTGACTTGTTTCCAGGTGTGACTGACAGGTTGGTACCTCCCACATCACCCACACTGTACTGAGCATGCATCAAACTGCCTTTATCAGGCCCTTTCCCCATCGAAGTGGGGAACAGGCCTGGAGAGTGTTAACTTGCAGCTCTCTGACAAAGTCGTATAAAAGCATGCCCGTATTATCTCGTCTCCCCTTTGCATTTTCCTGTTAAATAATAACTAGATTATTACAACAGTATATTATGAAATCTTAACATTTGCGACAACATGCATGGACCTCGAGGGTGTTATCCTAAGTGAAATAAGTCAGACAAAGAAAGACAAATACCATATGATTTTACTTATATGTGGAATCTAAAAAAAAATACATGAACAAGCAAAACAGAAACAGACTCATAGATATATAGACCAAATGTATAGTTGCCAGATGGTTGAGAGGGATAGGTGCAAAAGCCTAAGAGATTAGAAGTACAGATTGACGGTTATAAAAATAGTCATGGAGATGTGAACCGTGGCATAGGGAACACAGTCAATAACATTGTAATAACTATGTATGGTGCCAAGTGGGTACTAGACTTCAGGGGCGATCACTTTGTAAGGTATATAAATGTCTAAAAATGACATGTACACCTGAAACTAATGGAATATGCTATGTCAACTGTAACTGAAAAATTAAAAATAAATTTTGAAAAGAAAAAGAATGCAGATGAGGCCCTGAAGAAGAAAACTAAAGCAATAGAACAGAATGAATACTGAAAACTGTGATTCAGGAAATCTTTCCTGAAATTAAAAAAAAATGCAGCCACATGTTTAAAGCACATTCTGTACGTGAGAAGATCCACCTAGAATGAACAAGAGATAGTGCAGTAAGATTACCGGAGGGAAAGAAGGAAAGAATGAGACAGACGGAGAGGGAGGGAGGGAAGGAGGAATCTTTTGGTATCTAGAAAAAAAGAGCACGTAACTCAAAAGGAAAGAAAAATTATCATCAGACTTTTAAAAAGGACACTTATGCCAAAAGAAAATGTAATAACATATTTAGGATCCTTAAGGAAAGAAAGTGTAAGTTTAATATTAAGTTTTAATTAAGCAAAACTGACTTTCAAGTATAAAAAACACAGCCACCTATTGTCAAGACGCACCAATTCCAGCAGCGTTGTTCCCATGAGCCCGTCCTCGGAGATCAACCGGAGAGTGAGCTTTGGGTCCAAAGTGACCAGAGGGGGCAGTGAATGGTGCGCAATGCGTGCACACTGACCTGCAGGACTAAGACTGAAGGGCAGTTCAGAGAGAGCAGGGGACGAAATGTGCAGCGTGGTGACTACAGTTAATACTGTTGTATTTTATATTTGAAAATTACTAAAAGAGAGCTTAAAAGTTATCACTACAAACCGAAAAATGGCGGCGGAGTGAACGGAGCTACACAGACCGTCTCCCAGAACCAAACTGGAATTACAACTATAACACAGACAAATCGACGGGAAAAGCAACAGAAAAGCAGCCTGGAGGACCATACAACGAGGGACACCGACTCCATCCCGGTAGGCTTGCGAAGGCGCGAGACGGGGCTGGGAGCCCACGGTCGGCAGCTCGGCAGCGGCCTCAGCTGGGAGCGGCGCCCTCGGGTCACACTCCCAGGCGGCCCCACAGCGCAGCCGGGACAGAGGCTGAAACAGCCACAGCCACTCACCTTGGGCTCCGGCGGAGGGAGGGCAGACTGGACTGGAGCTGTGTGGGGACACTCGGGATCTGGAGGGCGCTCAGAGCTTTGGCTGAGTTGCTGCCACCCAGGATGGTGGCCACATTGCTCCTTCCCAGGGCTCTGAGAGAGGCAGCAGCCCCTCCCTCGGAGATCCAACCCCACCCTGTGGGCCATTGAAGTGCTAATTGAGGCTCACTAACGAACAGCATCTGCCCCACCCTCAGGAAATCCCCTTGTGCTAAGCACCTGAGGGAGCTTTTCAATCAACTGACAACCCAAAAACTCATCAAGTAACCTAGACTGCTAGCCTCCAGGCAAAAAGCTAGAGGATAACAGTACCTTTCCTGGGCCGGCAACTATAACCAGGAAAGTAAGACTTGACAGTGGTGTTCAACGTGGGTCCTCCCTCGCTCATCTAAACACAGGAGAGGGAGCCACAAACAGCAGAACACCAATACCCACAGGGAGAACTTGACAGGCTCCAAAGCCCACAGTGATAGCCAAAATGGTGAAACACAGAAACAGAAGCCAAATGAAAGAGCAAGAGACCTCCGCCGAAGATGAGATCAATGTGGAGCAATTAGGCATGTTAACAGAGCTAGAATTCAGAGCCATGATCTTGAGGAAGCTCAACAGCATGAGTAAGGACATAGAGACACTGAAAATAAGCCAATTGGAAATTAAAAACCAACAAGAAGAGATAAAAAATGACATATCAGAAATGAAAAACACATTGGAAGGTTTAAAAAGCAGAGTAGAGGAAGCTGAGGACCGGATCAGTGAATTAGAAGACAGGGTAGAAAAAATCAACCAATCAGAAAAACAAAAGGAAAAAACTATTAAAAAACAGGAAGACAGCTTAAGAGAACTGTGGGACAACTGGAAACGAAATAATATTCGCATCATAGGAGTCCCTGAAGAAGAAGAAAATGAGCAAGGGATAGAGAATATATTCAAAAAAATAGTGAGAGAAAACTTCCCTAATTTGGTGAAGGAAGAAGGCATTCAAGTTCAAGAAGCACAGAGAGTCCCAAGTAAGAAGAACCCAAACAGGCCCACACCAAGACACATAGTAATTAAAATGCCACAAATTAAAGACAAAGAAAGAATCCTAAAAGCAGCAAGAGATAAGCAACAGGTTACCTACAAAGGGAACCCCATAAGGCTCTCAGCTGACTTCTCACAAGAAACACTACAGGCCAGAAGGGAATGGCATGAGGTAATCAAGGTCATGAAAAACAAGAATCTGAATCCAAGACTACTCTACCCAGCAAGGCTATCATTCAAAATAGAAGATCAAATAAAGAGCTTCCCAGACAAAAAAAGGCTAAGGGAATACATTAGCACCAAACCAGCACTGCAAGAAATGTTAAAAGGACTGCTGTAATTAGCAGTAGAAATGGGAAGAAAAATAGAACCACACTAAACAAAAATGGCAATAAATAAGTACATATCAATAATCACCTTAAATGTAAATGGATTGAATGCTCCCATAAAAAGACAGAGAGTAGCTGATTGGATAAGAAAGCATGACTCATCTATATGTTGTTTAAAAGAGACCCACCTCTCAACAAAAGACTCACATAGGTTGAAAGTGAAGGGATGGAAAAAAATTTTCCAAGCAAATGGAAAGCAAAAAAAAGCTGGGGTAGCAATTCTCATATCTGATAAAATAGATTTCAAAATGAAGACCATAACTAGAGACAAAGAAGGCCACTATATAATATTGAAAGGATCTATCCAACAGGAAGATATAACCTTGATAAACACATATGCACCCAATATAGGAGCACCAAAATATATTAAAAATCTTCTGGAGGACTTCCAAGGAGAAATCGACAACAATACAATCATAGCAGGGGACTTCAGCACTGGATAGATCCTCTAGGCAAAAAATTAGCAAGGAAACAGAGACTCTAAATGAAGCACTAGACCAAATGGATTTAATAGATATCTACAGAGAATTACACCCCAAAACTACAGAATACACATTCTTCTCAAG